CGAAAATAACAACACGCAAATAGTTCATACCAAATAATACCCACTAATTCATAATTCACCGACCGCGAAATTGTCTGTCAAGTCTGAATTCGCGAAAATATATGTACGCGAAAAAATATGGCGTATACAGCAGTCGTCACCATGATGCACGCACGACCAGGCACCGTGATGCACAGCCATGACGCCATGATGGTCGCCATGACGACATGGCACCGTGAGCACGCACTTACGCATGCACAGCAGCTGTCGTGCAGAATTATACGCGCATCCTACAAATAGAGTGCAATCTATCTATGTATTTATTTATACGTGCGCATAAGCATTACGTACACGTGTATCTACGAGAGCTGCTCAAATGGAAATGTCCGCATAATATTATGTTTGTGTAATCGAAGATCGTTGTGATGTGCAGCTGAAAACTAGTATATATATTGCTTCACCTTTGCAATTCGTAAGTGAGTAAACTTTTTATATGCATATACAGTGCAGAAATTTTCCACTCATACCCCACCAGTCTAAGTACTCTCAATGATATAAAATCTAATAACTAAAACAAAAATTTAAAATCTAAATAATATAAATAACTAAATAACTATAACGGGGGAGAGAACAGTGTAAACTTGGCCCCAGTACAGCGCTCCCTGCCCTGCTCACACGTTCATTGCCCGCTGCACTTATTATTATCTACCGGAAAAAGTACACGCGTTTTCTGCACGCCACCCTCGAGATACCACTGTTCAAACACATCACGATTCCAGTAAACCCGGCTCTGGGAAACACAAACACGTTCGCTCTGTGATGGACTTTTCAAACGGCTGTTAGACACTTCATCCAGGCTGAGATGCTGCTCAGTCTGCCGTTAATAAACAGACGCTCTTCATCCCCGCGTCGCAAAAACGCTGTTTTCGCAGATCCCGGCAAAAATAAGAATTCGAACAAATTGCAGGCAAACATGCACGCCCTTCTCATCTCCTACTGAGTTTTGCGAATGTAGTCGCTTTGCAAAACATCGAATACTAGTAGTACGTACGTAGACACTCTCAAAACAACCAATCATCCAAAACGCCAGACTGAAATTCAGACAATCTCAATAAGTTGTTAAACGAATCTGCCACTCACACCGCAACGCAGACGTATAAGAACGCACAAAAAAAAACAATGTCGAAATACGCTGTTATGAAGTCGTGCACCCATATACGATTTTCTGCGGTTCAAAACTGGTGAACCATAGTAGAGTGGTAGCCCGAACGAACTCCTGAGGGGACACAAAAATTGCGTGACTCAACCGAGTCAAGACGAGGAGGGGGGGGGGGCTCAGCTTTCAGTCAGCCTGGAAATTGCAGTGTAGCGACGGTGGGTGGGTGTGTGGGTTTGTGTGTGTGTGTGTGGAGGGGTGGGCAGACTACTAGACAACGAACCACACTTATTTTAGATTACATCTCAATCACATGTTTAGGCTATTACTTGATTTTTCGCCAAAATCTAGGTAAGGTAGCTGCTCACTTGCAACCCCAAAGATCGACAGTGACAGCCATGTTGCCACCAGCTGGGGCGTCTGTCATTGTCACGTTAAGTCTGTCATCACGAGAGACCTGGGGGTTATCGGGGATGCAAACTGAAATCAGCAAAGATCCACGAAAGCCCGCACCGATCTGCGGAACGACGTCGCAAGGTCGAACCATGACGCAAAGGTCGCAGAAACGTCTAGCCAACAATCCAGCCATCAAGCCTCGACGGCAGCCACAGCAGCCGCGCAACGATCGTGCGCTCGCTCCACCGTGCAGCGCCGTGCGGAATTTCGGTGGCCGAAACATTTTGAGAAATACTGATCGGCCCAGCCAGGAACAATTTACGTGATTGACCTTCGTGAAGGACGGGTATTTCGACGCGATCAACAGTCGTTCTGCAGAGACGAGCCAATTGCATTTTCGATCAGTCAACGCGCCGCCACGTCGAGTTGAAACGACAGACCGCCAACAAACTGCTACACATTATTGGCTACTGCTACACACTACCAGCTATTGCTACACATTAACGGCTACTGCTACACACTACCAGCTACTGCTACACACTACCAACTACTGCTACACATTAACGACTACTGCTACACATTAACGGCTACTGCTACACACTACCAGCTACTGCTACACAC